TGTCTTCAAAATAAGGGTGCGTCTTATATTTCGAAAAATACGGTAGTTGAACTACGTTCATTTTCAATTTTTTTTTACATTCATTTAAAGTACAGTCCGATCCTTGACCAGTGGTCAGGCTGCGCATCGAAGGGTCCAGGTTTGAAAACATGTTTTCGATAAGCACGCGACACACATTCAACAATAGGCGCGTTATAAATGTAAGAGTTAACTACGTTATCGAGTCTAAAGAGCCTAAAATAACCCTTGTGACAGCAGGTTCTACTAACTCGTTTTCTTCCCTGTAGTGAGGGATGTCTATATCTATTTATATCTTTGTGCAAGTTTTAAATTGACGTGTTCAAGAGTGTGACCTCTTTCAGAATAATTTAACTGGTTTTATAGAACACATCTTTATTTAAAGATTGTCACACCTTACATGGTGTTAGAACAAACATTTCTTTAGAGCTTGTCACACCTTAACTAGGACAAACATTTCTTTAGAACCTGTTACACCTTAACTGGTGTTATGACAAACATCTCTTTAGAACTTGTCACACCTAACAAGTGTTAGGACAAACATTTCTGGAGAAGTTGTCACACCTAACAAGTGTTAGGACAAACATTTCTGGAGAAGTTGTCACACCTTGCCAAGTGTCGAGACAATGATTTGTTTAAAGAATATCACAATGTTTATTTAGATATGTGAATCTGTTTGAAATATTCCATAGAGAAGCCTAAAATCAAATATAAGTTTGTAGCTGAACACAATTTCATCTGGTTAAACCACTTTTCTTTGAAGAATACATGTTGTAAAAGTGCTATAAACTCATGAAAAGTCACACGAAAATGTTTAAGTTGCCTAAAAGAACAAACTGGTGGTTATCCATCCCATCTTTTTATGGCCACTATTGAATTATGTAGTAAATAAACGTTTCAGGGTATTTACGTTGTTACAATTTGTGAAAATCAAAATATGCATGTCTTATATATTCGCAACTTTGGATATTTTCTATATGATACAAACGAATCCGTGGGCCTATGGCCCACATTTACAGGGTCCCCTGTAATGCTTGAACTACTATTTTGCATTTTTTTCAGTATAACGACGATTGCCGCTATAATGCAAGTTTAATTTCTTTAACCAAGTTACAAACGGTAATTAGTAGGCCTACTTATTTACATGCTGTAATGTAAACCAATGCCAAATTTGGGGTCCAGTTTCGGGAAATCCCCGTAAAGGTGTATTCGCGAAATACCCGCGTTCCCTAAGGGGTTGGGTTAAAAGTTTTACCTTTGTGGAAACCTCGAGACCGAGACGATTCGTTTGGCACCATTTAGAAGTTGGGGAGTCCAGCAATTTAGGAGAAGGGGTTTTAGGGAAATTCCCGGGTTCCCAAAGGGATGGGGTGAAAACGTTTACCTTTTTTTGTAAACCTCGAGACCGAGTCGATTCGTTTGGTACCACTTAGAAGTTGGTACGATCAACAGTTTAGGAGAAGTTACGTGACACACACACAATGAATCTTATTATACCGATATGAAAAGAAGATAAATTAAGGCAGTAAGGACAGCTATACTATTAACTTCACACTAAAGTAACTGCCATAGACATAGTTATGAGGTCAGTATTTTGACGTACCGAATATGGAAAACAAAACAAAAAAAGATTACGATGATTAAAGGATTTCTAACGTCAAAATATATATCTGAGAACGAAAAGGAGTCTCTATAAAATGCGAAATTAAATTCTAAATCTACTGACCAACTTATTTAATTTAATATATAAACTTTCGCTCACAAACCGAGAGATACGCATGTGTATAGCTAAAACAAGGTTATAACTATTTCTAATCAATCCTCACAAACGACCCTAAAGTATCGAAGGACGAATACACTTACCAATTTACTATTAAGACATTTTTAAAATCTTTAAGTGGTTATTCAAATATTTAGATGTTTGCCTTTTGGATATGGACTTAAACTGTTAGTAGTTTTACAAAAGTATTTTATATATAGTCTTACGTGATCCGGACTGTAATTTTAAAGAAAAAAAAACTTGCAGTGATCCATGACAAAGCTCTGCAATCATGAAGGTTGAAATGTTTAGTAGAAAACATATAAAAATATTTTATTAGTTCTCAAAGTTTCCAGCAGACGAAATTAACTCGTGAAAACATAAAAAGGACGTTGGGATTAAATAAACATAGGAGCGGGTTACGGCGGGGCTATTGGGGCTGTAGTCCCAAGCCCAGCCTATAGAAAGACTGGTTATGAGTTTTTTTTTTTAAAAAAAACCTTAGTTTCTCGTCGCGATCATAATAGGCCCAGTAGACAGATTTAGCCTCAGGCCCACTTGACCCTTAATACACCCCTGAATAAACTACAGATATTTCTAGAGGGCGCCACACGATTCTATAAAGTTTTATTATAAGCCATTTCTCGCTACTTATTTCTATAATGATGTAAAATAGTCAGTGTTCACTGAAACCTACAACAAGACTCTCACGTTGGATATTAGACTTAAATAATCACTTAATACTGTATATCCTAGGCCTTACCGAAGTCCACTTTCCCCCAGCCAGTGGCCACGCAATCTAGACCCTCAAACGTGTCTTCCTTACTGGGCATGCAAATTGGCCGAATGTTCTCGTTGACGGTCACTGGCTCCGACAGTCGCATTATTGCGATGTCATTGTCATATTTTGAGTACCAAGCATTGTAGTGCACCTTGGATACGTTGTATGTCTTCTCAGTGTCTTCCTTTTTCTTTATGTGATGATCCCCTAACCGAACATTCCAATACTGGGGTTGGGGTAAGGTAAAGAGTGGACTAAAAGGCACCAATAAAGCAAGTAATCACATTTTGTATGACATGTAGATATAACATAATATACTCATGGACACTGTTATATTTAATGAAATTTATTTGAAATAAAAAATGCGACCAGAAGTTGTGTTCAGAAATTTATTAATACAAGTAAATTATTTTGTTAACACAATTTCTAGACTTCCACATAATGACTTGAAAAACACACAAAAAACTACAATTTCTTTATTTGTGCAATCGTTGGCATTGGATTATTAATTGTATTTATGGTAAAGCTATTAAGATTATCTGCCACCGTCCCTAATTTTGAACCATTGACCAGAAGGAGACAGCCAGATAGCAGCACCCTACCATCCACCCACTACATTAAGAAGTTGATTTTCACTGTTATAACGAACTCACAGCTTAAAGCGCGGGGAATATTTCATGGTATTGCACGGATTTGAACTAGGCTCAGCAGCTCTGAAATCCAGGGTTTAACCATAGGCTACCCTGCGTTCGGTTTGGTAATATATTGTTTTGATTTGGTTGTTTTAGGGCAAAGCTACACGTTGTAAGTCTGTAGACTTACCGCTATTCTACAAGGGGACATTGGTAATAAAACTTGTCACATGTGAAAAAAGACAAAAATCAAATAAATAAATGAAAAGTAACGAGCTCAAGTTTTAGTTTACTTTTAGTTTTGTGTGTCAGCTTAATTAATAATACTACCCCCCACCTCCAAGGCTCAGTGGTAAGTCTAAGAACTTATAACCCTAACATTGGGTTTAGACGCAGGTCCCAAATTGTAAAGTTTTGTGCGTAACAACAAACAAACACACACACACACAAATAATACCACGTAAAATGATTTTCATGTGCTTCAAAAAGAAGAAAAAAAAACTGGCGTTACTCACCAAGAATTTTACACAACAGAATGTTTTTTGTCAGACCACACTACCCCAACCTTTTATAGGATTGGAACTGTTGCGT